TATCGAGATATAATTATATTATCCGCAGATGATATACAGTGGCGTAAGCAGCCAATTGGAAACAGGGGCGGGCCAAGGCGATGGGTAAGCGACGAGGGGGATAGGTGTGGGAGGGCGTATCCCGGCCCTCCCACGGTAAGGCAGTTTTTTGAAAATTCGTGCATGAATGATTTTTTCTGCACACTAAAATTTCAGTATTAGGGGTAACTTATATGAGAAGTGGCATATGCTAATCCTTTATAACCCCCTCCTCGCTTTTTTATTTTTTCCACTCCGATCGATCAACGTGGACGATGCTCCTGGATGTGGGCCGGAAGGCTCTGAGGTCACACGACCAGTATGCTGTCGGACCTTAGCTAGACCAGGCTGAAACAATGGCTGTACGAAGCAGTGCTTTTCACGAATGTCAACTAATTACAGCAATGTTTTTGCTTTCCTCTGATTGCAAGAAACTAAAAATCATATTTGAAAATTTGATTCAAATTAAAAACAAAGGTGGCTGCCCCAAAATAATAGGCCGCCTTATTAAATAAAACGAATTTACCATGAAAAGAATTGTTTTTGCCCTCCTCTGATAGAGAACAGTACTTAAATCAGTGTTGAAATTCGCGATTGAAATAAAAATCGCAGACGTGGATGCCCAAAATGACCGTCTATAAGTATCGAAATATTTAATAAAAGTTATTCACCAAGATTTCATTCTTTTCTCTGTCAATAACAGTTCAGAAGCCATAAAATTCAATCAAAGCAACTTGAAAAACACAAATCTGAGCAAAGAAGAATTATAGCTCCTTTATTTTAGTCATGTTTTTGTCTGCCCTGCAGAAAATCTCAATTCCAAAGTCAAGTCTTCTCGTCGATTGCACCGAACATTGTTTGAGGATTTCGTTGACATTAATGTCCATTCACTAACTCTGGTTCAACGAAAGAGATCAGCAGCAGAGAATTCGTGGCTGGGTCATTGTAAAACGAAGTTTAGACTTGACAATGCCTCATTTTAGAGAATGCTTCGTTCAGGCGATGCAGTAAGTAACAGCGAATTGTTGGCCAGTCCTTGTGAAGACACGTGAGAGGCAGCGGCAATTTAAAATTGTTTTTTTTATTGCTTGTCAATCAACTAAGGGGGCGCGGACCATGGCCCCTTTGTGCCCCCTTAAGCTACGCCAGTGGATATATATATTATTCTCGATGTTATCTCTTTGATGTTATATGTCCTCAATGTTATCGTACTATGAGTTGAGCACATTGGTTGAGACCGCAATACATATGAAAATATCTCCAGTTCTAAAATTTCTGTGTAGTTCTGCTTCTTCATAATAGGGGATTACTATAAAATGTCTACACAAAGCTTTAGCGGTTGTATTATAAATTTAACAAAAATCAGGAAAAGCGATTTATTAATAACAGAAAAACTTGTTCAGGGAACTTTCATAAAAATTACGTATGCTAGAATGCATTTCAAGGAGACTCACCAAGCTGTTTGCAACGTACCGTAATTTAAATTGTTTATGAAGTCATGTGTAAACCATGTATTTTGCATTTATGAAATATAACGATTTTGCTTTTAGAACAATGCCAAGATGCTGTAATGATCGTTGTTAGCATTCATCACTTTCATAGTTTATTTAAATGGATCAATGGGTCTAAGTGTGTTGTTATTATATAGATATCAAGTAGTTAGCATTTATCCAAAATCAGCTTTTCCTATTAGCGTTAGCGATATTATTTCCATATCAGTCGAGTTAATCATGAAGTATATTTGTTACAGAATCATGAGCTCGTTTCACAACATTTGAATGGAAATTGACCGTTGAACATTAATCAAGAGCTTATAATACCACATCATCCCACAGCGCGAAACGTTCAATTGTTGTGGACGCTATCAGAAACAAGACGAATCTGGTGTTTATAGTTGGTCAAGTTCAAGGTGCATTATCTGTAAAGTTACAGTAGTTATCAGTAGCTATTTCTTTTAGTTTCATATAGTAGTAATATTCATTAGCAAGTAAATTGCCAAGTAAACTATGTGGTTTTAAAGTAAGTCTCAGCAGCAGTACAAGCGTGTAATCATTCCAGTAAGTGAATACAAATAAGATCTTTATAATTTCACTTCCTGATCATACCAATGTGGGTGACTGTTCTTTACTGAGCAGCCAAGCAGCTGTATGCCTTTTACTTGCTTTTATTTGCTTGAGCAGATTTGCGGGTGTGAGCCATCAGTAAAACGATCAAAGCTACACATGAGGGCCGCGCGCGTTGTAATACTAATTACATAGAAACAGTAGAAGGTGTTACTGGGATTCTCCATTTTTATGATCGCTTCGGTAAATTAATCGTGCAGCAATATTTGAATATAGATATGCTGACGTAATTACGACTTGTTCTTTATGCATCAATCGTATTTATGTAAATTCGATTCAGTATTCCTCGTGCATCGGTAAGCGGCAGTTGCAATCTATTTTGTACGTATGAAGACGGACAATCCACTGCTAAGCTGACCGAGACAAGTCCGAGAATTGAGTCCGATGTTGGCGCCATCATCGGCGGGTTTCGGCGAAACAGTAGAACAGTCACAAAGACTTGCGTTGCCGACAGAGTTGCTGGCGCGCATTGCGTGGTCGCCCACGCATCTAAATAGTGGCAGTCTCGATCACCGTTACTGACTGCTTATCTTTTCCACTTGAGCTGCATTTTTCGTTGTGAAGTCATAAATAAAGCTGGCTTGCGGCGTATCCGTCTGCCACTGCAGAGGGAGCGTAGCTTGATTGCGCGGGATGATTGGTCAGATTACCTTGGTCTGTCTTTCACTGCCTCACTGTAACCGCGTCGCTTCAGCTACAAACGTTAAGCTTCCACGGCCGGCGATCGACCTTGAAAGATAGGAATCGTATATGTCCGCGTAACTACAGAGTAGTGTTTTATCGTGGTCAGTAACGGTAAACGTGCGTGTCAGCGTGCTCTGTGTCGTTACCGTGCCATCGTCCTCGCTGACATGTGAAGTAACGGCTCCGGTAATAGCTGCGCCATCACGCTGCCACGCTACTGTTCCTTCCGGGAAGCCCTTACTTGCAGTGCAACTTATGCACTAGTCAATTGACACCCCCACCCCGACCCCCGGGACAGGGCGGGGGAATTAACGTTTAGGTAGTGTTAAAGTTAGACATGTCCCCCGGTCCCCGGGGGCACCTTCATAGTTAAAAACCCCCACCCCCATGGCCCCGGTGTTTTGGTCGATTCAGACGATAAACGTAATTCAGATTTTGGCGTAAAACGTTCAAGGCTATAGTATTCCTGGGATGTTCAAACACCAGAAATCAGATGTAAAAATGCTGTTTGATGATTGCAGTGTGATGATTTTTATGGTTTATACACTGTATATTGTATTACGGTATCTGGAGTGAATACTATATAGATGGTTCAATTTCTATGACTCATTCCTACATGTCATTTTGAATTTACACTAACAACTGTGTGTTTAAGCTGTTTACACTTATTAATGTGACTGAAGTGAGAATTTTGACTTTGACTTTGTATATCATAGTTAAATGTATTAAAGCATACAATATGCAATCTCTAGGTAATTATTGTGAGAGGGAGGAGGTGAGAGCATCGCAATAAATTAATTGTTATGGCGCTAGGCTCGAGGTGATAGCCTAAGAACCAGCTGGGCCAGATTCAAGAAAAGTTCGTACGCACAATATATTGCGTACGCACAAACAGGGATTTAGGTGGTATTCAAAAAGAATTCTATTTCGCCAAAAACATTCTATTACGTGCATACGGTACTCACAGCTAAGATCATGCGTAAGCACAAAATCTGAGCATGTCAATTGCTACCGAATACAGAATACTAGAGATATACCTGAGTGAAAATATTGCTATAACACTACATGTATTTTATTCTAAACGTACAGGTAAACGTCATTATAACAACGTACAATGGTATTTAAAGTTTCTATTTAACTATATAACTCGCACTCATGCACGCACGCACGCAAGCACATGCGGGCAAACCCACACACACGCCCGCACTCACACACACGCACGCACGCGCACAGACATATATATATATATATACACACACGAGATCCGCCATCCTGTTTAACGGTTCAGCGTTAAATCCCCCGCTATATATGCCCCGCTATTCAAGGTACGCATGAAATTCCCCGCCCCCCGGGGAATTTACGCTGTTAAATGCGCGTTAAATCCCCCGCATATCCCCGTTAATTCCCCCACCCGTCCTGGGGGTCGGGGGTGGGGGTGTCAATTGACTAGTGCATAACTACATGTTCATCTGCGGTTATTTCTACTGTACATAGATATCATATAAAATGATATCTATGTTACTGAATCTCCAACGACAGCATCGCCATCTATCGTCATAGTGAAATAACAGCTCCGCCGATAGCTCCACGAGTACTGTCAGGGGGAATTTGGTCAGACTCGGGGTTAACCGAGCTTTGCTGCTGCCACTGACAGTAGAACTCAGCATCATCGGTCTATAATTCTAGCGACTGTATGTCTATGGTCTGGTTGCCTGTTTTGTAATACCAGGCATCACTATAAGAATATCTGTCTACTTTAGTGACAATAACCTCCGTACCGGTAAAAGTTAATGGTGCATTAAACAGTTATATAGAAACGTGATGTAGTTTTACTGGTTCATGGGCCTCTTCATGCCTCTTCATCGTCACCGGGCGGTTGAAGAGGAACAGCCTCATTGGAATTGCCAGGTCAAGTCTCTCTCTCCCGGCCTTTCTCTCGCAACAAAGCTCATCAGCAGCAACTATCGCCTCTAGCAGCCGTGAAGCTAGCCGTGACGTCATCACACCAGATCGCCGCGATGATGTACAAAGGTTAAGCGTTATCAGCGTTATCAGCTAGTTCACTATAGGTATACGCAGCTAACGGTATAGAAGCGAAGACGAGGGGGTTTTTTGCACGAATTCGCCACGTATTCACAATAATTCTCTCATTCACCCGGCTTTACCAGCGTGACGATGGCAGCAGTGAATCTGGGTGTGGTGCTTATCTTGTGCGAAGCGCTAGTGATCGTGAAGACGCAGTTCCTGGAGCAACCGCGTGACACGACGGCCGCTGCAGGCGCTAACGTCACGCTGTTCTGCATATTTGACCTGACTTACGACGCCGGTGGTGAGGAATTCATTCAAATAACATCTAGGTGGTTACGCGACGGTACCGAGGTTATTGTCACTAATGAAGACAGATACTCTTATAGTGATGCCGAGTATTACAAGACAGGCGACCATAGCATAGACATACAAGCGCTACAATTAGATATCGATGATGCTGAGTTCTACTGTCAGTGGCAGCAGCAAGGTTCGCTTAACCCCGAGTCTGGCAGAATTTCTCTGACGGTACTCATGGAACCGCAATCAGTGACCATATCTCAGATTGCCAACGCCTCCTCGCCAGATGACACGCTGCAGTTCGCCTGCGTTTCAAACAGCAGTAAGCCCGCAGCGAACATCAGCTGGTCGCTGAACGAGGAAGACATTACTAGTGATTCGCAGGCAACCGAAGAACCGGGCTTCATAGAGAAGACCTTCACAACTAAGAGCATCCTGAGTCATGTGTTTTCATCGGATGATGATGAAAAGACGCTGCGCTGTCATGTCTACATCCATGACGATCTAACCGCGATCGATAAATCAGAGACTCTATACTTGAGTGAAACTGTTGTCATCAGCAGCACCAACAAGCCTACCAGCGATGGCGTCATCGTCCTAGCAGAGCAGAAGTTGGTAATGAACTGCGATGCTAACGGATACCCAGAGCCGTTCTACACGTGGATGTACGACGACGCCGAATACCAGTCCACGGGAACAATAAACGAGTTAGTGATCGAGCCAATAGCGTTCCAGGACAGCGGATCGTACTCGTGTCAAGCGACTAGTGTCTTTGGTGATTACAAGTCGACTAACACGATGAACGTGATTGTGGCGGTGCCACCAGAGGATGTTACCATGACGATGGACGGCGATGCTGTTGAGGAGGATTCGGTAACATTAACTGCAGATGAACATGTAGTTTGTTGCACTGCAAGTAAGGGCTTCCCGGAAGGAACAGTAGAATGGCAACTTGATGGCACAGCTATCGACGGAGCCGTTACTTTACATGACAGCGAGGACGATGGCACGGTAACGACACAGAGCACGTTGACGCGCACGTTTACCGGTACTGACCACGATAAAACACTACTCTGTAGTTAC